AAAAATGTTAATAAAAAAAAAAAAAAAAAAAAAAAAGACAGAGAAACTCAAACATTGCTCTTGACTAATTAACTTTAGCTTTAATAAAAAATAAAAAAAATCAACGTTTCTTTAATTCATACAGTTAAGACTATGCTGTGTTTTATATTTACATTGATTTATTGAGGTTCTGTAGTAGGCCTATTTCTTACTTGAAAGCTGAATGTTACATAGACATACCTGAGGGTAAAAATAAAATAAAATAAAATAATAATAAACTGTTTATTTAATTGACAATAGTCAGTGTTGATTTTTATTTTTTTATTTTAAATCTCAGGAGATTGTTATGCAAAAGACTGTATCACCCCCGTTTCTCCCTGAGCTGATCTTGAAGAAGGATGTTTGACTTGTTTAGGACTTCATTAAAATTTGATCAGGCTTAGCACTGTAAACCAACTTCCATTACCGTGCACCAGTGGTGAGCGGTGACTTTTTTAACCGGGTATGCTGAGTGATAAGTAGCGTTGCAACCTTGCAAACAATAATAAAGTCAGAGAAGGACTTTAACTGTAAGTAACACGAGCATGCTCAAAACAAAGGGAACAATATAATTTTTGTTATTATTAAAATGTTATGTAGCACACGCTTTTATAAACATTTTTTGTTTCTTTTTAATTTACCGCTTAGGCAATAACGTTGACAATAACGTATATCTTCAACATACGTTGTCTATGTCCAAAAATGTAAGAAGATATGTTTTCGGTGGACTTTTAAAATTAGCTTTGCTTGAGAAAACAAACATATACAGTTACAGTGTTTTTTTTTTTCTTTTTTCTTTTGATTTAGTAAAGTTGGTTTTACATCAAACAAAATGTGATTCTCGGCAATCGAGATCTGACAGGAACAGCACATTTTCCGCTTGGGAGAGCGCTTCGCGGACAGCTTACCTCGCACATAAAATAATCCGCAGACCAGCAAATCACTGAGAACGTGCTACAATCCTGACGAGTCATAGCAATAGAGATGGCGCCGACGCTGATGGCTGCCTCCGTGGCGTGCTCTGCAGTTGTTTTTGTGCGGAGGCGAGAAAGCTGCGGAGAATCCGCTCTCACGGAAGCAACAGCAACTGGTAGATTTAAAGAAAATTACTGCCGTTTGGCAAATAAATCATTTTACGTCCTTATTCCTAACTCTTTAAACTTTAAGTTACATTTCAAATGGCAAGGGATCAACTTATAATCATGTTTATATGAATTATCCTGTGAACGTATTTTCTCAAATGGCCTGGGTATGCAGAGCATTCGCAGCTTATATGGACGGAACGCTACTGCCGTGCACACTGTCAATACTGAAATAATGCCCAGGCAAGGTCGTGCTTCTGATAGGATGCAGAGGTGACCTCAGCTGGACTGAAGGAATTAGCATCCTTTTGATAAAGGTTGGAAACAAATAGGATAGGATGGCATAAACACGTTGCATAGTTTGTAAATCACATACAAGTATCCAACTTTGGTTGCCTGGCTGGAGTGAGATTTTGTCCTCTGAACTCGCACACTGCTCTTGACTAATTAACTTTAGCTTGAATAAAAAATCAACAAATATTTAATTCATACAGTGAAGACTATACTGTGTTTTATATTTACATTGATTTATTCAGGTTCCCCTTCAGGAACTCGAGTGGCGTCGAAAGCACTTTAGAAACACCCCTGTGTTTGCCCACGCTCTGAATCACATGTGAAATTAGTCCAAATGGAATGGTTAAACGTCACGGGCGGGGTGACGTAGAGACCAGAGAGCTTAAAAGCGCATCCGAAACAAGCAGCGTTAGCTTCTGTGTTTTCAGCAAGCGCTCTGTGTGAAACGTGTCAGTCTTATTTACTATTGTTTGTATTAACAGTGCACAATCACCTCTATATGGTGAGCTAAATAGACAGCACTTTAGATCGTGTGTTCTTCTCTGCCAGTGCTAAACATTACGGGTGTGAATGCACGCGATCGTTGTGTTGTTGTTTGGGAGCGGAGCACGCACTGTCAGCTCTCGAGGGGGCTGATTGTGCATCCTGCTTCCACTGCGAACACTCCGCTACCGCCGGGCACACTTCGAGGAGTGTGTCCGTGTTTGCAGTCTCTACGGTTCCTGTCCTGCTGTTGCTGAACCACGGTGGCGATTGGGATCGCGGGGATCGCATATGAATCTAGCGCTCTCTCTCGAGGTTTGGAAGCCCGCGCTGCTCTCTTTCCTCTTTGAGTGAGAGCTCTATGCTGCAGCTATCTTCCTCCGAGGAGGCTGATGTTAGCAATGATGTATATGAGATTGAGGACTCGCCATCTCAATCTTTTGCATATGAAAAGCATACTGCATTTTAGATAGCTCGTTTCTCCCTGCCCTCGCTATAATTAGGGGTGGGGATGCAGGCGATTTATGTTTGTTTTGGAGCGGATCACGCACAGTCAGCTCTTGAGAGGGCTGGCTGTGTTCATTCATAAAATGTCCCTAAGTGTACAAGTGTGCATTTCCTTGGATGTTTAGCTCTGCTCCCGCTGGCGTTTCTTCTCGAGGGAAGAACGTCTTATGCAATATAGAATCGATCGACTAAAATCGAGTGGTTCGCATTACGGGGCTGCAGCAAATAATGTCAGGGGAAATATATGTATATATAAAATATATGGAATATACACTGAACAAAATTATAAATGCAACACTTTTGTTTTTGCCCCCATTTTTCATGAGCTGAACTCAAAGATCTAAGACTTTTTCTATGTACACAAAAGGCCTATTTCTCTCAAATATTGTTCACAAATCTGTCTAAATCTGTGTTAGTGAGCACTTCTCCTTTGCCGAGATAATCCATCCACCTCACAGGTGTGGCATATCAAGATGCTGATTAGACAGCATGATTATTGCACAGGTGTGCCTTAGGCTGGCCAAAATAAAAGGCCACTCTTTTTCACCATGATATGGGTTAAAATGAGAGCCCATTTCTCTCCAAAACGGTGCCAGTTTAAGCGTTTTGCAATAAAGAAATAAAAATAACTAAACTTGATAATTTATGTTGCTAAATGAAGGCGGATTGTATAAAATGGATAAATAAATAAAAAACGTTTATTAACGAGCTGCAGTTTTATTACATCACTCGCTGACACAGATGCAGTATATTAACGCCACGGGTCATCAATAAGGTGCAGATTGGTCACCTATTCCAACAGTGTTTCCAACACACTTTTTCACAGCGCGCATCACGCGAAGCATATATACAAATCATTTAGTAAGCAGAAATCCGAAATATACCTTAACATATCAAGTTGGAGGAAGATGCGACTGAATTGATGCTTGAATGCACTTCCAGCAGCCATGATAAACAGTTGGCGGTTAAAGTTTTCTATGCACAATTTGATTTGACGAAAGTTGATTTCATGCGCGAGGTAAGCTGTCCGCAAAGTGCTCGCCCAAGCGGAAAAATGTGCTGTTGCTGTCAGATCTCGATTGCCGAAAATTATATTGTGTATGATGCAAAACCAACTCGACTAAATCAAAAGGAAAAAAACTGTAACTGTATATTTTTGTTTTCTCAAGCAAAGCAAATTTTAAAAGTCTACTGGAAACATATCTTCTTACATTTTTGGTCATAGACAACGTATGTTGAAGATATACGTTATTGTCAACGTTATGTGACAATAAGTGGTAAAAAAATAATAATGTTTATAAAAACGTGGGCTATATACAATTTTAATAATAACAAACATCATATTGTTTTGCGTATCTCGTGTCGCTTACAGGTGAAGTCCTTCTCTGATTTTATTATTGTTTGCAAGGTTGCAACGTTACTTTGCAATATTTTATAATACTTTTGGGTATTTTGCATGGTCTGTTATTGGAGTGTCACACGGGTGGGAGTTTTAACTCCTATTTTAACTCCTGAATAAAAAAATAATTTAGCTGATGCAGAGACATATAGACCGGGGGAATCCCCTACTTCTCCTACTTCTCCGATTACTTATCATAACGTAACTAAGTGTAAACGTTATTTGGCGGTTTTTACTTGCATAGCATTCAAACAATGGATAAACCTGAAACGATTGAAGAAGGATTGGAGATTAATTTCATTTACAAATAAGGTAGGAAATGTGCATACATTTAAATCGACACCTGCCACGGTGTTTCTTAGCTATTTGTCATCTGTGATCCCTTTTGAGTGTCCTAAAAGCCGATGGGGGGGGGGTCTTATCACTCTTAT